AGCTTAACGATACAACTCAGAATAGGTCCCCTGGTTGAGAACTTTTCTTAGACTAATTACTGCAATGTATATGAAAAACACATATAAAAAATAGGTACAATTTTTTCAAATTGCAGCCCAATAGATGTATAAAATAAATACAATGAATTTATTACTGCAAAATAAAAAATTAATAAGAAATAATAGGAAATAAGGAAAAATTAAAATAGACAAATTAATAACATATATAATATTTGTAAACAAAAATTATAAATCAACAGATATAATGAAATGAATATTTATACTAAGGAAAAGAATCAAAAANATATTAAGTATTTGAAAAACCTAAAAATAGATTTTTTAAATCAAAAGTAAGGACAAAAGATTAAATTTTTGGTCAGTTTCATTTTACAATGATGTTACATAACTGGAAAATTTTCAGGGTATTCAGATTTCAATTTTTATTGTATACATGAAGTTGCATTATACCATATATGCATGTGTTTAAAATAAAAAAGCTCTATTGTTTATCTTTACAATATTGTTGACACAAAAGAAAAAAAAAATTTGGAAATTATGAAAATTTGGTAACAATATTTATAAATTCACTAAGCCATAATGGTTGATTTTCCCACAGCACTGTTTGTTGCTTGTGGCCATTATGGATTAAAGTGATTTTATACACATCACTATTATACAGCATCCCTATTATGTGTAAAAAAATCTGGTAAATTTTTATTGTCTATTTATTGCAGTAAATTTTGTCTGTGGAAAAATTTTACTAGTGTAGTCTATGACTTATATGAAACTGCTGTTTCATGAATTATTTAAAATCTTTGGAGACAATTTAGTTGAAAATAAACATCTGCTGCTTACATTAAGATGTTTACTGTTAAGTCCAGTTCATATTTTGAGAATGGAGAGAACTACAAAAACAAATGTGCATGGTTTTCAGCTATAATCATAAAATTCTTTAAAATGTATATGCAATTATTCTTCTTGAACTTATGATTATAACCTTATAAAAATGAGTGCATTTTGGGATAATCTTTCAGAGTTTAAATAAGATCAGTATGTTGTTTTATATAACAATATTTACATAAGTATCTAGTCAAAATTAATTTATTACAATTTAATCTAAATTAATCCTACTGATAAAAAATGAAAATCTCTTTAGAATTAGTCCTGATAAAGGATGCAAATTGTAGGCTACCGAGAGAAAAGTACTAAACAGGTTAGTGCACACTTTGCATACTACTAGTCTTTAATCTTTATATACAAAAAACATTGCTATTGCTAGTCAAATACTGCTGAAAAATAAATTGTTGAAGATCAAATTTGAATTAAAGATAAAGATTTCTGATATTTTTCTAATTTATTTAACATAATCCCAAAATATGAAAAGAACTTTATAATTTGGCTTTTGAGATTTCTATATCTGCAGCTGGCATTATAAAAAACAAAAATACAACATACATTTAGTTTTTACAATATTTTATTTTTAAGCAAGGTTTTATCAATATCAATCTTTAAAACTGAAGTTCTCACTCAATCAAACATACCCGAATACACTGTCACAAAGGAATCTTTAAATGTGAATAAAATTGATGAAAACAATCTAATGGAACTACTAAAATATTCCTTGTCTTACCTTACAGATATTTGAAAAACAATTTCTATTATTATTGTTTATTATTATATCTATGTACTATATTATTGTATTTAAGGTGTTTTAGTGTATTTGGAAGTGGGTTGTAAGTATTTTATATGCATAGAAAGTTAAAATACATTGGATTCTCAATCTATTGTTTTTGGTGGGACTTGAGGGAAAATATTATCGATACAAGAAATTTATGACATCAATGTTCTTATTGTTTATCTTGTGAAATATGTATTTTTCAGTGATAGACTTATATGATGGCTTTCTATAGTACTAAATGATATGGAGCATATGCGTGGATGTTTGTTTATTCTACATTTTAAAAAATTGTTAAGAATACTGAAATTTGTTATATTTTCTTTTGGTAAGAATATATAATGTATTGACTTTTTTCTTGCACTTGAAGATGATAGAAGAGTAAAAAATGTCAGTGAAATTATAAATTTTTGTCACAATGTGTTTATTCTCTTGTGAAAAAGGGTTCTGACTTTTCTCATTTGTCCAGACATGATCTTTCCTATCTCAAGACAATGCGGAGTTGCCAATCTTATGGGAGAAAATCATCATACCTGCCCCTTAAAATTAACATACATCCATCTTGATTCTTTATTCTTACACCCTTTATCTGTAGAAATGTTAACAACGTTCACCCTATGTCAGAATCAATCTCATAAACTTTTTATCTGTGATCCTGTCTTACAACAAAAAAATTTTTAGACCTCATTTTACAATGAAGTTTGCACATCTCTTCCTTATAATATATGATTCAAAACAAATCTCTGAATGGGCATAAGACAAAATTTGCATTTTCTCATACAATTTCAACATACCAAACATTAACAAATATGTAACACATTCCTTTATATACTGTACTTATTTCATATGCATAAACCTTAGTTTTTCCAAATTTTCATGGTCATCTAAAATTTTTAGTCCCCTTTTCGACTCCCTATGCCAAAAAAGTTTCAGTTATAGACAGTTCACTAGATGGAAACTACTGTACAGTTACTACATTAATACATTTTATTATGTTTTGTACAAATAGAAGCATAATGGCAATTCAACAGGACATGTATTTGCACAAATTTTCTTTTCATTTCAATTTGAACATTTTATTAGTAGGTCTAAAAGTATAGCAGCTTGAAAAAAGTATAGCAGTCTTGAAAAGTATGACAAAGGTATGCCTTATAATTGAGAATATACAATAATAACCAATCTAAAAACTTTTGCAAATTTATTAGCTCTCTAGTGGCAAAAAAAAGACATAAAATATCAATGAAAAGATAATATGTAGAAAATAGTGATTGCAAATTGGATTTTTTCAAAAATTAACAGTTGTTTTGGAGTAAGGCATATTTATGAAATTATCATACAAAATCCTATTATCATACATCATATGGCATAATCGAAATAACTGTACAAACTTGATAATTATTGTATATATAGCTATGCTGAGACAATGTGCTAATTTTTATCAGTGTTACCAGACTTTAAGAGGAAATGTAGCCAATAAAATACAGTATTTTGTAAAGCTGTAGACAAAAAGTAGTCAAAAATTGCAATAAAAACTGGTTAGCTGAAGTCAAAGGGTTGAGATCATTTTAAAATATAGTAGTATTTGTCATCATTTTTTTTGTATTTAATTACAATCAAACAAATTTAGACTTTTAGTAGTATATAGCTTTTAATCTGAAATGTAACAATGAAAATTAGTTTGTTTTATATAAATGAGATTGATGCATACAACAAATAAATCAACATAGATTTTTATTCAATATTATTTATAATTTTACTATTTAAAACCGATTTACTGCATGTTTTAGTTACTTATTATTAATATTTTTAATTTTCTTTTTAACATTTTTGGAAGTAGATTTATTCAATTTCCTACTTTAGTCCCAAAAGAAAAGTGTTTCTTGTGTTGATTTCCAAATTCTATTATCTAATCTAGATGTTTTAATAAACTTTTATTAATAGCTTTCTTTGTATAATGTATAAACAATTTGCTTTAATTTATATATTTTTCTCATATTTTAATAATAATAATATTTTCATTAATGAAAGAATTGATGTAATATATCTGTCCTTCAGCAATAAGACAGTTGAATATGTAAACATTTCTCATATGATAAAAGTAAACAGATACTTACTGTTCAATTTTGTATAACTTGTCAAAAAGTTTTGACAAGTTATCAATTAATCAAATATTTTTATTTTCATTAAGGCTAAGCCTTATTACAGTGGGTATTTTTCAATAATATTTTATTATACATTTGTTAATTTTCATCGTTTGATATACATCACACTCAAGATCATTAATAACATTACAATAATCGTTTAGTATTAAATTTTATCATTATTTTCTTTTTTAAATATTTTAGTTTAAGTAACATAATTAGTAAAAACAATTTTTTTTAAATTTTATTAATTTATTACATATTTTTTAGTTCTCTGGCAATTTGATTAAAAAAACCCATTAATTTTATACATTTGATTTAACGTAAGATTGTTTAATTTAGTTCTAAAGTCTTGATTTTACTTCGTAGATATTACTTCTATAATTACATATTTTTTAGTTCTCTGGCAATTTGATTAAAAAAAAACATTAATTTTATACATTTGATTTAACGTAAGATTGTTTAATTTAATTCTAAAGTGTTGATTTTACTTCGTAGATATTACTTCTATAATTTCATATTTTTGATGATATTTCTTTAGTCATTCTCAGTCTCTTAGTATATGGATCAGAGAATAGTCATTTGATTTACACCAATAATATCTGTCCTTAGTAAAATCTAAATAAGTATTATTGATAAAAAAATGAATATTTATTAGGTCTTAATTGAATTAATAATGTTTTTATATTCATATTGATATTAGCTGTTATGATGTTCGAAGTATTTCATTTAGTAAATCTATCTGGTCAGGCGGAACGTAAACTAACACCATAATTAACTTTTTGTATAAATGTTTCATATCAGTATTATCAATTTGTAATAAGATTAGAATACAATTAGTTGCTTTTTGTATAAATTTTACAAAACCAATGTTTTTTCTTAATATTAGACAGTCCTCCATGTGGTCTCCCTGGTCCTATTGGTTTCTGTGCGTCAGAAAATATAATTGTATATTCCATTCTATTTTTTATAATTTCATTAACTGGTGTGACTAGTCAGGTTTCAGTTATACCTAAGATATCAGTATTATATAGTAATTGAGAAAATTCTTGAGTTTTTATTTTGTGGATTAAGCCTTGGCAGTTCCAATTCATAAAATTTAAATTAAGATTATTTGAAATTTAATATCTTGATCATTTTCACATTCTAATTCTGAATTAATTATGTTATTGGGTTTTCTGTAGAGAATACAACAAAAAATCATCAGCATATACTAATTGATCCTGAATATAACTATATGTAATTTTTTGATGATTAATTAACAGATAGTCATCACGCAGTTTTAGTTGTAATCCTTGTTTCTTAAAATTTGTATAACAATGTAAAAGTTTTTTCCTTCTTTTGCAAGAATCTTTATTTAAATCAGCTGACATATTAATTTGTTGCCAATTTCCCAGTGTCTTGTTATATTTCAATTTATTAAAGGCTGCAAGGATTCTATTTCTTAATTGGTTTGATTTTAATACTATGCACTTAATTTGAATATTTGGATTAGGTATTGAATATATATTTTCTATACCTTCTGATTTGCTGCAAACTATTTTTAAAGTATTAGAAAAAAATGTTGCTAATTCATTTTTAGTAATATTTTTAAGCTGATTTGTATAATCATAAATTATAATTTTATTATTATTTATAGTGTTAGTCATAGTACAGTTTATATTAAATTAATTCATTTTCCAGTCTTAATTTAGTAAATTCATTTTCTATTTTATCATTTCTTATTTTTATTTGTTGAATTTGATCTTTAAATTCTTTAATTTCATTTTGAATTATATTAATTTCTTGTCTTATAAGTGAAAATTGACTCACCAACTTATCATTACTATTAGTTATCAGTTTGACTATCTTATTCCATAATTCTGCTGTTAAAATGTCTATTTGTTCCGCAGGTAATTGTTCTTGTGAGGAAGTTAAATTAATTAGCTCACCTGTTTGATATAATGATTCGGCTCTTCTAGGTTCAGTATATTCAGTGATAAGGTTTGAATCTGATTCCAATGGTTTGATACTATTAGTCAACAATTTCTGACGAGTAGATGATCTTCCTCTGTTTGTTGGAGTTTTCTGTAAGGGCCCAGGATTTGGTTCTATTCCAGCAATCAGTAACAATAAAATAAGAAGCTTAATATTATTCCTTTTATTCGAAAATAATTCAAAATTTTTCATTTCTTGAAAAAATCAGACAAAGTATAGAAGTGGAGAAAAATTTACGCCAACAGCTTTGACGATCAGGGCAGATCAGATTATAGTTTTGACAAGTTATACAAAATTGAAAGCATCTTAGTTAATTAATTAATTAATTATTTATCTTTTTAATTAAGTATTTTACCCTCTTAAGTTAAGTCAAATGATATTTTTTTCAATGTTAATATAAGAAATAATTATAAAAATTCACTGAAATGTATAAATGTTCAAGAATATTACTTTGAAGCATATATAATTATTATTTTTTTAATAAGTTTGTTAAAATAAATATATTTAATTTCCAGACCTTATTTGACTAATAAAAGTTATAATGAAAGATTAAAAGGCATATTTGTTTTATCAAATTTTATATCTGAAATATCTTCAAAACTAACCAATAGAAGTGAAGGTGAGTTGTTTGATACTATTAAAATAATAATAATGAAGTTTATTATTAAATCATTTATGTTTTGGGAATTTAATACTAAGATTTACATTATTTACAGTGGAGCATTTATTAATATTTTTTTGTGATCGCTTGAAAGATCATCATTCAATCATTCCTTATGTTCTTAAAGGAATCTTAAATCTGGTAAATACTTTTATTAATTTTTTTAGAAAACTTAAAAATAATGATCCTAAAATTTGTACTTATTTAAATTTGAATATTATTAATTATTAAAATCATGATAATGATATACTTTATAATTCTTAAACTGTAAGTAAATTTTCAGTGTTAATTATAAATGTTATTTTAGTTTTGTTTTAGAAGTCTTCATTATTATAATTCAGTTAATGTAATAAAATATACATTGTTTGACTTTGTTTAAATCGAATTTTAATATGAGAAAGTTGAAATAATTTTATATCATCTGTATTGAAAAAAATACATAATCTAATATAATATTAAGTTGTAAAATTTTACAAGTCTTTTAACATTAATAATTTTTTTTTGTAAAGTGTATTATTGTAAAGTGAGAATGCATTTTAATAAGTCTGATCATTTTCTAACTTAAGATGATTTTTATACATATTTCCAAACATTCATTCATATTAATTATAGATAATTCCAAAATAAAATTTTTTTGAGCCTATTTAGATTTTTTTTTGTTTATAAAATAAAATAATTTTTTATTATCTTCCATGAAATTAAATTAGAATATATAAAACATTTTGGAATTAGTTTTTGAGTATTTATTTTATTACTAATAAAAAAATAAACTTTTAAAAATATTCTTACAGGTTTCTAATGAAAATTTTCCTGAAGAACAAACTGTAACTGTAACAAAAGCAATATTTCGTGAAGTTCATGTTCCTTCTCATTTTCATAATGATAGATATTGTGTTTATACAATACTCTATACACTTTTAACAAAACATTTGAAAGGTAATACAGATGAACTTAATTTCCAAGTTTGATCATTTCATTATTGAAATATTTTAATAGTGCTTATTACAAAATTTCAGAATTGCAAACTATGGGTAGTGATTTTGTTTTTGAATTTATTCAAGTTATGGATGGTGAAAGAGATCCAAAATGTCTTTTACTAGCTCTTCATACATTACCAATTATTATAACTAATTTTGATTTAGGTAATTTGATAAAACAATTTTAACTTATTTTAAATAATGCCATTTCAATACAATCTAATATCAATCAGTAATTATAAATTATATTTATAGGGGCTTTTATAGAAGATTTATTTGAAGTGTTTTCCTGCTATTTTCCTGTTGATTTCAATCCTGTAAGTTTTTGACTTTTTTTAAGCAGAAGAAAAAATAATATTTTAAAAATCAAATTGGTAGTATAAAAATAAAACTAAATTATTGTTTTAGCCTGTAAATGATAAAATTGGAATTACTCGAGAAGATTTAAGTTTAGCTCTACAGAAGTGCTTTTTATCAACATACAAATTTTCTGAGCATTCTTTTCCACTGTTTCTGGAGAAACTAGACTCTGACTTACTAACTTCAAAAATAGATTCTTTAAATCTTATAGTAAGTAACCCTAATAAATAAATAAATAAATATATATTTATATATTAAAACCATTTTTAATTCCATAATTTTCAGTCTCTTTGTTGTCAAACCTACAAACCAGAATCTGTAAAACCATTTTTATTACCTGTTATTACTGCCATCTCCAAACAGGTAAGTTTAATTTCATAATTAATAATTTTTATATTTGCAAATCACACCTAAATTCAAAATTTCCAGCAAATAAAAGTCAAAAACACATATTGAACGTTTTTGGACACTAAATTTATCGGCCTTCCTGAGGAACTATCAACTGGAAAAACCGTTCTATAAATAGAACTTCGCTGCCTTTTAAATTTTTTTAAAAGAACAAAAATGGCTGTGATGTATCATGTATGACGTATATTATGAGTTTAGATAGCGTTTCCACGCTGACGATACAGGAATGACATCCGTGTTGATGCAGTTTCCACTCATGCTCGCCTTGTAGATCTCTACTGCTTCTAGAATTTTTATATTTTGCCTGTCGAAAACCTTGTGTATTAGCTTGGCCTGGTCCCAACAGGGGGAAATTCCCGGATTGCTGGCATACCATGCCAAAGCCGTATTGATGCTACCTTTTAGCACATCATATTTGTGATCTTTTAGTCTGGCTTGCAGCAATCTATATGTGGATCCTATGTAAGCTAGTAATCTGCCAAACCTCTTGTCATATAGGGGGATGTGGTAAATCCCAGGAGCCAGAGCGTCTTCATTGTAATCCTTCATGTTTTGAGAGAAGGCAGAAAATAGTAGGTTTCCTTCTATAAGCAAGGAGTATGTTTAAACTATTTGCGATCTTTCTATATATGTGATGTAGTGTCAGTTCATAGTCTAAGATCACCCGTTTTGCTTCTGCTTTGTTAACCCTGTTAGATGACTGAGTTAGATGTTTGGATGCCAGATTGTTGATAAACGTGCGGCCATATTCGTGGTTGTATGCTACTTTTTGAGATGTTCCAGCTCCTTGTTGGTATCAGACAACCGTGTAGAATGGGAGTAAGCTTTCGCCACAAGAGTGCGGAATGTGGATGTTTTATATGACCATGGGTCCGCTGAATTGGAAGGTATGAATAGGGGGATGGAAGTAGCCTTGTGGTAAATTGCCGTGATGAATTTGCTATCAGCTACTTGAATCCTGTTTTTATATTTAAGTAAATGCTAAAATTTTCATTTATATATAATTTAAAATATTAAAATAGAAATTTTTAATGTAATGTAATGCCAATCTTAGTTTAGAAATTGTTAAAGTATTCTTATTAGTTTGCCAGATTATATATAGATTCAAATCTGAATTTTAGCAGAAAAGTTTGATCATAATATATTTTAATAGAAATTGTCTGGAGGATACTGTAAAGCTACTGTGACCATAAAACAGAAAAATAAAAAGGGATTGTTATATTTATTTGAATATCTGCTTAATCAAATTCTGATTTCTAAGTTTAAGAAAAAATTAAACGTGCAAAAAGTGTGCAAATACATTAATCTTCTAATAACAAGGCATCAAAATAAAATTCACCAACCTTATGGAGTCCTTTTTGGTCTACATAAGATTGGTGTTCAAATACAAATGTATGAAACAGTTGTTTACTATATAAATTAAATTTTTACCGTGTTCATCCGTTTCTGTTTGATTACTTCAACAATGTCAATAGTGTGTGATAAGTTCTCCATAGAGCCAAAACTTAGTGCTCATTTATTCAAATTCAAGTTAAATTTTTCAAGTTAGTAATTTATTTCGATTAGTCAAAACTTAAAATATTGTTGTGTGTAATTGAACTCATATTTAATTTTTGGAAATAATAATAAACTATTTATGAAAATTTGCATGTAGTATGTATTCTATTGTTTTGGTCTTTAATTTTGTAGAATGAAATCATCAAAAAATTTATTATTTTATAAAAATTTTTTCAATATTTTCCTCTCTATGTATGTAAATTTTTATGCTTATATTTGTTAATGAAAGTAAAATTAAGTTAATTGTTTTATTAATATTTATTTTAATATATTAATAAGTGAAATTAATGTTTATAAAAATTTTGATCTTTTAGGCATTGTTAACAAAAAATAATGAAATTCAAAGTAAATTATTTAATACCTTAACTAATGTGCTACAAGTAGCTTCTTCATCAAAGGAGGAGGTATGAATTTTTAAAATTTAATTAAAATTTTTAAAAAATTAAATTAAAATTAAATTTTATACAAATTTTATTTAATTTGTTTAGATCTAAATTTTTTAAAACTAAATCTATAAATGAGAATGTTTGTTTGTCTGTTAGCTGTACACTGCTAGGCCATTTCACCAATTGCTATAAAATGTGGCAGTTAAGTTAACATGCTTCTAACTTAGATAATGTCATATATCCCATCCCAAAATATTGATTGGATTTTATATAGCAATTAATTTCTGTTTACATTGACTTTGCTGAATTTACATGTAGCGACATCTATTGGCAAAAATATTCAAAAATAGATAGTTTTAAAAATTTATACAAAAAAGGATGTGACCCACATAGAAACACTTTCCTGCTATATTATTGGAGACAGAATGTAAACATATATTATAAAATCACTTGATTTAGTTGTTTTTTAAGCTTTAATTAGCAGTTACATAATATAAGAAAATATGTAAATAATATTTTATAAAATTCATTGTTTCGATTATTGTAATAATTGTTTTCTATAATTTGTAATAATTGTTTTCTATAATGAATATTCCATTTTTTGAAGATTTTATATAATACTATGAAGGGTATAAATTACTGCAAACATTCCATATGAAACAATGAAGAGTGCAAATTGTGATAAATTCTTTTCTCTTAGAGGGAGGAAACAGAAATGTTTATATTTGAAATATATTTTATTTCAGGAAGTTATTCAGCAAGTGTCTTGTCTATACTTTTCCAGCTAGCAATAGAGTCATGCCAGTCATCTATCTACTGTCTATACCTTTCCTTCTAGCAATAGAGTCATGCCTGTCATCTATCTAACTCTTTTCAGGAAAAAATATTTAAATTCAAATGATGCAAATTCCAGTGCAAACCAGAAGTTCTATATAATTAATCAGGGCCTTCTGCCCCTACATTTTCCAAATCTGGTCTTGACATTCATCTGGTCATGACTAACACTATTCTTGAAAGTAAGGAAGGACAGACAGTCAAACAGACAGATGACAGTGAAAATTTATAGATCCACAATTTTTTAAATTGCAGTTCAATAACACTTCTTTATATACAACATTGCATGTTTTTTGGAATGGAGAGTATACATAAATATTGTTAGCAGTTCCTATAATTTGATTATATATACAGTATATATGCCTTGAAAAAAATTTAAATCCTAACAAAAAAAACCTTGAAAAAATTTATACCTATGCATAGCTGATGTAAAGTGTAAAATAAATTAGCTCAATACTTCAATATAAATTTATTTAATTTATTTAGAAGGATGATTTATATAGATTTATATATTATATTTTCTGAGAAATTGGTTTATTGTTATAATATAACAATTGTTTTGTTCAGAAAATTGTATTCAAATGGGGAAAAGTTTTTTAAACAAACTTTATGTTGTAAATTTTTATGTAGTATTTAAAAATTAGTTACTGTGCTTAAATGATATTTATGATTCTAATACAAACAGTAGCATAAACAAATAGATGAATAAAACAGTTCTTATTCTGTTTTATCTCTTCATTTATATATGAAACTAGATATGAAACTAGCTGCAAGGACCCGCTTCGCTGGGTTTTTATTTGTTCGTACATTTGTATGTAATATAGTTTTTTTTATATATATAAAAGACTGTTTTTCTAAGTAATCTAGAATCTAGCTGCAAGGACCCGCTTCGCTGGGATTTTAAAAAGTAACGATAGTGAAGATTAAGATAATTACATTATAGCCAATCTTACCCGTTTTCACAGAATGCAAGAATTAGGTCCCCCGTTTCCAGAC